TTCTTGTATTCTTTGGGTAAATACCCAGCAGTGCCATTGCTGGGTCATAAGGGGGTTCTAATTTTAACTTTTTGAGGAACCTCCACACTGTTTTCCAGAGTGGTTGCATCACTCTGCATTCCCACCAATAGTGCGTGAGTGTTCCTTTTTCTCTGTATCTTCACCCACACCTGTTGTTTCTTGTGTTGTTGATTTTAGCCATTCTGACAGGTGTGAGGTGCTATCTCAGGGTAGTTTTGATTTGCATTTTCCTGATGATGAGTGACGATGAGCATAATTCTTAAACCAGTGTTCAACTTATGTAAACTTGAAATGCAGTAAAGAGACAGTGACTCCTTGTAAAGAAGAAAGACTCAAGGTCCTGGGCAAGGGTTAACTTTGGAAGTGGCATTTTTACATCATTATAAAAAGGAAGCATGGATAATTAAAATAGTCTACATATACAATTCATTTGACAGACAGTTATTGAAAGTATACCAGGCAACAAGCACTGGGCTGTGCACTAACGTTTTTTTGTTGTTTTTTTTTTAATGAATAAATGTCTAACTTTGACCAGCTTCCCCCAGAAGATGACCTTGAAACAATGACTTGAGTGAGAGTGTTTTACTTGTAAGCTGATCCCAGGAAGTACCAGTAAGAGAGTGACGCAGCAAAAAGGGAAAGAAGCCAATAGTTGAGCCAATTATCGAGCAGGTTATTGCTGTGGGCAATTTGAGTTCAACCCTGATGAGTGAACTCTGGGAGACAGTGAAAAATGCACCTCACCGCTGTCACCCACAAAGGGTAATTATCTTCCAACTCTCATTTATCATTGGCTCATTCATTTGTCAATCCCTTACAGTAAGATTTCCACCACGCCAATAAAATTACTTTGTGTATGGTCCTGAGGGAATTCCATATGGTCAAAGCCAATGGATACTTTTGGCATGGCTTTGGGGAGTCTGACTATTTGGGTCCACGTGTTGGCTCTCCCACTCACTAACTGTATGACCTTAGGTCGATTCTTTAATGAAGTCTGTTTCTTCCTCTGTTCAATGAGAAGTAGCAACAACAGCAGCATAAACAATGATACCTACCTCATAAGATCATCATGATGATTAAATGAATTAACACTCATACAGAACTTAAAACCGTGCTTTAAGCAGTGGAGGAATTCAAGTAATGTTAATTATTATGATTTTTATTATCTGGCATGACGTTTATATGGCTTTTAAAAGTGTTAACCACTTTTGGGTTTTTGCAATTCTTTCTTATTCATGTATTTATGAAAGTACACTTTCCAGGCATTCCTCCTACCTCTTTAGCCATTCATTCATCCTATTGGCTACTTTTGCTTCATTCTGTCTTTATGTGTTGTACTTTCCAGGACTTGATCTTTACCCCTGTGTTCTGTTCAATCTACATACCATGTCAATGAGAATGCATTCACATTGAGGTCTTCATTACTTCTCTGTAGTAATTTCTAATCCTGGATTCCTCTCTCTCCCCAGATACATGGCTTTGCCATCGTACCTTCAGTCCATGTGACTAAAATGATAATCCTTTGTAGATGATCCTCAAAACTTCCCACTGAATAGGTCCAAGATTGAACTCATTATCTTTTCCCTGGAACTGTTCATCTTTATTCTTTGGGTAGATAGCAAATAGCAGTTTTATCTAACAGGCACCAAGCAGAAGCCAGGAAATCTGTCTTGACTCCTTTGTTTCCCCACAGCTTAGCATAATGCCTGGCATCTAGTAGATGGTAAATAAAATGGTGACTGTCAGGCTGGATGAATGGATTGATGGGTAGGGGTACTTGGAGGGGTAGATGGATTATTGAGTGAGTCTGTAGCTCGTAATTTTATTTAGTTAAGTATTATCTGATGGATCATGTACAGTTGAAGGTCAGGGATGAGAAAGCACGCCCTTAGTGGGATGAACCAGTTTTCCTTGCTACATTACATACACATGATCCCTTTGGGTTGAAAACTTTTACCGTTGTGACTGAACAAGCATTCAAATGGTATATTTGTCTGAAATAATGATCTGGGCTATGAAAGTTTCCTCCTTTTGCCACAATGAAGAGATACATAAACATACAATAGGAAGAACTATCTTAATTTTTTTCTCCTATGCTGGCCTTTTTAAATATAAGATTATGTCTACACTGTTGAAATAAACTATAAGATGTATGAAATACTTGCTGGCATGAATGCAAATGGTTTACCATGTTTATATCAAAAATACTAAGCATTTTAAAAAGTTTGCTAGCATAATGTCACTAATCAAGGCTGATTAATGCAAAAACAAATTGGAATCAGAGACTTTTTTAGGAAAGCCAATTTTGTTATTTTCATATACATGTAGTATATAAAAATAGGCTAAGAAAAAAATAGTGCCAACTATGCATAATAAAGTAGCTGGCCATGATAAGTTGAAAAAATGGTTTGTAATTGGAATATCAGTTATTTCTATGACTGATGGAGAATTATTTCAGAATATGTAAAGACATATTTTAAACAGCTTTCTTATAATAGCATTTACGCTATTAATTTTGTAAACTAAAGATTAAACAGAAGACTAATTAATAACTGTAAATCTCACCTATAGTAGGTGTCGCACTACCCTGTGAGGCAATAACAATGAAACAAACAAACAAAAAAGAAGGGTGCTCAGAGATTATAGAGAGAGACTGACATTTGTTTTAACACATGTTAACCTAAATTGGAATATAATATGCTGACTGGTTTTGCAACACCAAGCAAATACCCAAAGAGAAATGAACCCAATAAAAACAGTCATTTATGATGAGCACCACTCACCTGGTTTAACCTATTCTAGGTACCAGATTCTTGATTTCATGTCACAATCACTAGTCTTCTAGGGTTTGTCTAGTTCTCATGCTTATTCACAGAAAATCTTAAGTACTTCTTCAGCTCCTAAGTTATCTTAACTTTATGGGGGCAACAATAGAGTTAATTAAGAAGGACTAAACTTAACATCATGAAGGACAATTTTACAGTACTGTGCTGTGTACATTTTATTTATCTATCCAAAGCCCCTCTTGGCCCTTCTCTTCTTTGGTCTCTACTCTGAGGGGCTGATGTGTGTCATCACTGGGCTCCCGTGCCCTCGGGCTTCCAGTTGGTTTACCCACCAGGGAGACTTGGTAGGAGAGAGAGGACAAAGTGAGATCAGAATATTTATTCTCCTGGTTCCTTCTGGTGAAGTTCCCTCAGGCCAGTGGTGTCCTTTGGCAAAAGTTACTGCACTTCTCAAGGTGGTTTCTCCTCATGATGCTCAGCTTCTGGCGACTTTCCCCTCCCCCAATTTCCTGGCTCTCAATGTAGTAACGGCGCCACTGCCACAAGACCCAATTTCTTGTATTATCCTGTATAATTATAAAATTATAATGATGGATTAAAATTTAATGATTTTTAATGTAAATTTATTAAAAGAAAACTATGTTAAAGCTGAAATGAACAGTGGACTTTTCAGCCAAAGTAGAGATTAGAGGAAAACTGATGGCTACTATCAACCTTAAAATTAATTGTGTTTAATTCAGAAATCTTTGGTGATTTTCCTACACCCGGATTATGTTGTAATTTGTTCCTTTATAAATAAATCTCTTGGATTATCCAGGCCAGATCACAGAGGAAAATGTATGTGAAGCTAAAATATTCCAGAGGACAGTGGGGAGACATTGAAGGGTTTAAATAAGGGAGTGGGGCGATCAGATTTATATTAATTATTACTCTCTCTGTAGTGTGAAAATTACATTACAAAACAGAGACTTGAGACAAGAGGGGCTTTAGAGTCTACTGCAGACATGTAGGCAAAAAATGATAGAGCTCTGCAGTGGGAATATGTGAAAAGTGGGAGGAGTTCTGTATGAGAGAACTTAGTATCCAATTATATATAGTAGTCATTGAGACCTCAGGAAAAATCTAGAATGTCTGTCAGGTTTTGCTTAAGGGATAAAGTTGATAGGGGTTTTATTGCTTATTTTCCAGGACATTATTTCTATTTTATGAAATCAGCTTAAAGAAAAGATAATGTGGTCCTTAAAAGAAAAAAACAATGTGGTCATGTTTATTTTTAACATAACTAAAATAAAGTACTTCAGAGCAGAATTCATAGGGCAGCTCCATCTTTGACTCACAATGATACCAAAAAATGGCCTCAGTATAAGCCTGTCTTACTTACAGAATGTAACCAGTATGAATTCTTAGATATCGTTACAAGACATTTCCAGTAGGCCTACCTGCTCTTGGGTTGCCCCAGAAGAAGACCAGAGCATGTGGTTTATTTGGGAGTTGAGGGAGTGAGCAAGTAAGAAAGGCAGGGCAGTCAATAAAGGATGGTGCATTATCAAGCAGGTTACTCCTGTGAGCCACCGGAGCTTCATCCCACTAGGAGAACCCTGGAACCCTTGTAAAATAAGTGCTCCCCAGTGAAGTGAATAAATGCTCCCTGGCATGAAGGGGGCTAAAATATCCATACCCTGATATGTGCCATCAGCCCTTGATTACAGGCTGCTCCTGGGAGGGGTGGGTGGAGGGAATCATTGATTCACTGGTATGTCTAGCCTGCCACTTAGGTGGCAAAACAGATTCTTTGTGGCACCACAAATCCGTCAATGAATGAATTGCCAAGGATAGTATCAGAAGTCAGGTTGTTGGGCACTGAAGCGGTAAGGGCAAGGGGATTCAGGCATTCTGCTCTAGTACTTTTCTAAAAGATTATTCATATTTGGCTCTGGGGATTGAGAATAGACACAGTTAAATTTTTACATACACTACTGATGTTCTAGGTCACCTTGAGGAAGATAACTTAACCTCATGTTTGCCATTGGAAAAAGTAAGGAATTCTGTTGTCCATTATCCTAGCTGTAACACAATGAACAATTTTTTTAAACAAATAATATATAAAGTGAGATCATCTTTGAAGGTTAAATTTCAGATGTCTTCTCCAGGCTAGCATTTACTCCTATATATTCATTTTTCCTTCTATTCCAGTTGAAAGAATTCAGAATCAGTGGGATGAAGTACAGGAACACCTTCAGAACCGGAGGCAGCAGTTGAATGAAATGTTAAAGGATTCAACACAATGGCTGGAAGCTAAAGAAGAGGCTGAGCAGGTGTTGGGACAGGCCAGAGCCAAGCTTGAGTCATGGAAGGAGGCTCCCTACACAATGGATGCAATCCAAAAGAAAATCACAGAAACCAAGGTTGGTATCATAGGTATGTTCTTAAAATAAAATACCGGTTATACTGGATAAAATTATAACCATGGATTAAAATTTAATTATTTTTAATGTAAATTTATTAAAAGAAAACTATGTTAAAGCTGAAATGAACAGTAGACTTTTCAGCCAAAGTAGAGATTAGAGGAAAACTGATGGCTAATATCAATCTTAAAATTAATTTTGTTTAATCCAGATATCATAGGCTGGTTTTCACATTACACCATCTTTTGAGATCACTTCATAGTTGATATACATAATTGTGTGGTAGCATAAAGTCAGTCATTTGGGATTAATTCCTTCCTAGAAAAAGTAATGGGTCTGCTCCTTCCTAAGTGGGGCCCTGAATGGAGAAGGGGGGAGGAGTGTAAGGATAAGGCAAGGATAAGGGGTCTTCTCACTTTCTTCTCCAGGTCTTTGACCTTCAGACCAATTTCTCTACTTCTTTCTCTTCCTTCTCTTCTTCTTCTTTTCCCCCAAAACTCCATCATATATCTGTCCCCTCCAGAGTCTAGAATTCGTTGTGATAAAAGAAAGGGAAAAGAAAAAGGAAATAATACTTGTTCACTGACTATGTTTTATCAAGCATCATGCCTGGTGCCTTACATGCTTTTAATTCTTTCAAACCTCATATTTATGGATCAGTTGGGAAAGACCTTAAATGCTAAGTGGAGAAGTAACACAGTGAGAACTTGATTAGATTGAATTTTTTATTAAAACCCTCTATAGATTTTTTTTTCTGGTGTAAAAAGGCCTTCTGCTAAACAATTGTCTGAATCACAAATGAGCTATGTCATCTAAGAAAAAAGACCTTATATTGTGGTTTTCTTGGATGAAGTGACTTCCATTTCTCAATGAGTCAGTGTTTAGGCTGTGCTGAGCTACATGGCATATGTATTTATGCTAGGTTTATTTGGAAAACATAAACCCTGAAATCTCAATAGTTTAATATAATAAAGATGAATTCCCTGGTTGTATCATACTCCAGTGGAGGTTGAAGAGCCCTTCCTGGGAGCTCTCTCATAAATAGCGACTTGAGGAATCCAGGCTTCTCCGATTTTGTGATACTATTAACTCATGGCTGACCACAGTCACTGCAAGAGAGTAAGAGAGAATGTGGCCAGTTTATCCATGGGGTTCTATGGGTAGGCCTGGAGATTATGTACATCACTTCCACCCACCTCCCGTTGACCAGAACGTGTTCCCAATTTAACATAAGGAAGAGTAAATAGCAATAGTGAGCAAATGAGCTTTTAGCCAGCCTCGGCTGTAGCTACTTCTCCAAAGGACCTGTGTTGCTATGAGGACAAGATTTTTGTTCCTATGACAAGAATGTTAGAAAGTGACATAGGATTTTACAGACTCATCATTGCCTCTGTTGGAAGCAGTTATTTCTTTCACAAGAGACTTGTTGCCACTAGGATTTACTCCTTTGGATTAACATAGAAGGCATAGGAATTTCTTTTTTCTTTTTTTAAGATTTTATTTATTTATTTGACAGAGACAGAGATAGTGAGAGCAAGAACACAAGCAGGGGGAGCGGGAGAGGGAGAAGCACCCCCCTCCCCGAGCAGGGAGCCCGATGTGGGACTCAATCCCAGGACCCTGGGATCATGACCCAAGCCAAAGGCAGATGCTCAACGACTGAGCCACCCAGGCGCCCGGCATAGGAATTTCTAATGATGATGTTCCCAATTCCTCAGTTTGACTATGGGAAAGATAGAATTCATGCAGCTGTTCTTGAAGGCTCTGGTCTTATCCATAAGGTACTCAGTATGTTATGCCATTTCTTTTTACTGTCCAAAAACAGGATTCTATGAATCTAGCAGATCTTAGAAGAAAGTGATTAACTGGTGGAGAGGAATTAACAGGGGAAAAGAGTTTGGGCTGGACCCTTGAGTTAGAAGAAGGGAAGGAGAGATGGGAGGCATTTGTGATAAATTTGATAAGGGCAAGAAGACTCTGCAAGCTGGCACATGAAAAATCTTAAAACCTGTAAGAATCTTAAAGTGATGGCAAGAATGATTAGGGTTTTATAGCCCTTAGAAAAGCAAGGGGCTTTTAATAAGAGATGAAAAGAAGGGCAAAAGAAAATATGAAAGGATAAAACGAAACAATTTCATCATCAAAACAAGTCGTATGTTTTAAACACCTAAAACAAAGACAAGATGGTATTATAATTGCTATCCTTGTCAAACTTTCGAAATAAAAAAATTTCAATTGTCAGTCTAAAACTACATCATAAAAATGGCTTAGCCATTATCTATAGAAACTCATGTTTTTGTTTGTGTTATATGTTATATGTTAGGAATTCAACTCTATATATATATAGTTGCACTTTCAGTGTATGTTCATTATATAAAGACCAAAACTGTAATTTTCCCATCCATTTCCTAAATGGTTATGTTAAAGCTAAAAGTAATCCTAATGCTAATACTAACATTTAGCAAGTACTTGCCAATTGTCAAAAATTGTGCTAATCATTTTACATATATTGGCTTGTTTCACCCTCTCAGGAATCTTCCATGAAAACTATCATTGTTCACAGTTTACAGGTGAGAAAATTGAAGCCTAGAGAAGTTCAGAAACTCTTAAAAATCATAGAGTTAGGATGTGAATGCATAGCAATCACTCTTGTAGATGACTTCACAGATTTTCTCTTCTACCCATTGTGTTCTGTGTGGCTAAAACAAATCAAGAAAACACTGAAGATCAGAAAGGGAGACAACTGTAATTATGAATTGACAAATAAGATCATATTACTGATAAGCCAACAGGTGGGAAATGAAAACGATGAAACAGTATACTGGGGAGAGGTTTTCATATTCTGTTTTACTATGAAAAACTAAGAGATAATTGCAAATTATATCCCCTTTTTTAATGAAACTACAATGTTTAATTTTTCTAAAAGTCAGGGAGCATATAAAATGGGGATCTGGCCTTTATGTCTAATATGTTATCACTACTGAGTGGTAATAGCTGGCTTATCACTTACAATTTTCTTTTACAAAGAAAGGGTGAAAATAGACATAAAGAGGCATTGGATAATTTGAGCAGGATCTCCTTGCTCCGTAAATTCTTTCCGAGTCTCCGTGCCTAAGATTAGCAAAAGAGCTGGTGAGCCCCATAAGGCAATCATCAGGCTGTGTCCACGGAGGTGGAGGTGGAGAGCTGTGATTGAAGCAACCAGCCTCCCCTGAAGCAGCGTCACTGATGACTCCCCTCACCATCACAGTAGTAAGATACTCTTGGAAAATCTAAACCAGTCATCGCACCTGGACTAAAGAAAAATTCATCTGCAATTCTTATATTTTTATGATTCATCATTGCTCATCTTTGTCTGTAATCTCTTCCATTTCTTATCTATGTATTTTCATTGTCCTCATTATGGAGATAAAATTTTGAATTCTGACTTTAAACTTAGTATCCTTAGATAAATACTTATAGATTGTTGCTTTATAACTTTTGATAATTATCATTTTAAATTCCTTACACTATCTCATTAAGTTCTACCCTCAACCATTTCCTTACTGATTGGACATTCAGACAGCCTCCTCCTCTTGGTTAAAAAAAGTAGCAGAGAAAAAAAATGGGGACAACAACAAGCCCGTTGTTGAGGAGAGGAATCAAATCTGAGGTAGCATCCAGGGACAGTCCATCTTGAAAGCATGGTCAGGCTGGAAGGAGATGGCACAAAAGAGTCTTGATTTATCAAAAGAACAAGCTATAGATAGCCCATCATGTTGATGATTAATGAGCAGGTCATTAAGAGATGCCCATAATATATGTAGTTTCTTTCCTATATAACCCATAATGCGAGGAAGTAGCTGATTCTGTTAACCACACGGCTTCATTTGATCTTCTCCATGGCCCTAGTAAAACAATAATGTTTTTTTGAGATGGAAAGACAGATGTTAGGGAAAAATCATACAGGATTTCCATTTTAATCAAACTCCCTGCCAATAAGCTATGACAGAATCCTATGAGAGATGATGCCATTTAACTTTCATAAGAAGTAAGATGGTGTGACATTGGCACCTAAAATTGTCAGCAACGGTCATCATGGGATTTATTTTATTTGGCAGAATCTTGGTTGACTTCACAACCTGTTCCCCAGGCTATTAAGATTGGTCCAAACTTGGCAATGAATTCTTTGGAAAAATTATTTCTTGATGATTTTAAGCTTTCTTTTCCAGTATCAAGAGAGATTTACCCAGGCTCAGAGTTTTCATTTATTTTTTCCCCTTTCAGCTTTTGAAAGAGAAATTCCTTTTTTGTCTGCTTTGTGATTGCTTTTGTGTCAAATTCAGCATAAAAGCTTTTCAAACGTGACGGCATTAGCTGTTTTGTGCTTGGCTGAGCTAAGAGTACATGAATTCAATACAGAAGTGAAATCTTGTTTGAGCTTAGCTGATTTGGCTCTATAATACTTAAAACTATCTGAGGCGAGAAATCCAATAATTTATCAAATTATTAAATAAACATTTCCAAGGCTGCAAAATATCTGTGTTTTGAAGACATTCTTTAGGGAGCTTGAAAGATAGATATATTGTAATCATGTAATTAATTTAAAAAGTTGAACTTGTTATATATAGTAAATGCAGTAGGTGTTCGAGGATCGCAAATTATTTTACTAGGAAAGAAGCTAATGGAGAACTTTTTCAAATATGAAAGTAGAACATTGTACTTTTAATTATTTGGGGGGATGGGTAGTATTAGATCATATCCTTATCTGCCATAAGGATGTGCATAGTAGTGGAAGCTGAATTCTTCTCCCACATATTTTATTTACTTTTTGACTTGCACAAAATTAAATCAGCAAATTGATTCACACTGGTAGTTTGAGGTTTGGATTTCTGATACTGTAATGAAAAACATCAGAAATCTTCTTGCCGGGACCTGCCATTTCTTCATGCATTTTCTTTATTCCCTTTTGTTCTCCCCTAAAGCTTCCACATGATTAAGGAGAAAGAATCAATAACCTA